CAGCAACCAATCTTTTTTTTTAATGTAGCAAAATCGTTTCTCTCCATGTACATCCCTTGGACGTCTCTCGGAGAACTTGGAACAATGTGATAGATATTGATAAATTATCATTTTAGCATAGAAGAAAAGCTTGATCTGTGAATCGATGCTATGAATTATTAAATACCCAGTAAAAATATATATGTATATATAGTGTTTGAGGTTGTTTCAACTGAAAATTTAATTAAAAATGTGAAAAAAACGTTGCCGGATAATACTTGATAACAACGTAGATTAGACTTCGTATTAATAATAAGTAAAAACATGAGAGCAATCTCTCAAATCATATATATATAATTTTTTTCCGGGCTGCTATATGGAAGTAATCGATCATACGCTCTTCTGAGTGACTGTACATCCTATTTTTTATATTAATTCTCCTTTCATATTACAAGTATTAGCAGCAAAAATAAGTATTAATATTGATTACATTTTACTTCAGAGATTTTGAGCGAAAAGTAATTTTATTTATAGATAATTTTAGATAAGAATTATGCAGAAGAAATGCTACACATATTATCTGTACTTTTACCTTGATATATCTCATACCTCTTGTTACTTGTCAGTGTTAAAGAGCAGTTAAATCACCAAATATTTTTTAATATTTTATACTTTGTTTATGCTATATTGAAAAGTTTTGATTTCCGTACGATTTATTGAAAATTTCATTAGAAATTAAGAAAACACACGTCATATCATAATTCATTGATAAACACACAACACTTTATGAGCAGGAAGGATTTATCACAGATAGCACTGTTTAACATCATTATAGTGCTACGAAAATGAAGCGTTCGCGACGCGATGAAGAAATATACACGACCGAAACTCTTCGCATGATGGTTCACGCTCTATTGAAGGAAATGTCACGAATAGAGACTATTGTTCGTTATACTGCGCCCGCGCCGCGTCGCGATGCCGACATCGACGCGACGACGCGACGCATCGCACTATACTGTTTATCCATTGGAACAGCTGACTTACATAACATGCAATATTTTTATTAGCTTTTCGCGCACAAGTTTTGTCATCGTACCTATGATGTTGAGAACATTCGATATAGCGTTTTCTGATCAATAAAATGCATTATAGGATATTTTTGTGAGATTTCAAAACATGTTTAAAAAAATTTGAGAAAAGAAAAATCGCCATATTCTCAATCAATATGAAAAAAATATTTAATTATTTTCTTGTTGACAATTATATTTATCGTTATTGGTGTAACATATATTGAACGCTGAACGAAAAGTCCGAACTAAGCAGGGATCTTGCTTCGAATGTAAAATACTAAACGAACAATTGTAATTATTCTTATTGAGAAAAATTAAAAAATTAATATTTTATTATATTTATATTTATATAGTACTGAAATCTCTCAAATAAATAATAAAATAAAATAAAGATTTGAAACAATAAACTAAATATTAAAATTTTTAATTTAAAATTTTACTTTATTATTATATTTAATTGTAAAATGTAGCAATGTTAAATTACACTTATATAATAATAAATTAAAGTTAAATGTTTTGACATCTTAAATCGATAAGTTTTACCCATATATGTACAGTCATTGACATAAATAATTGAAAAAAGAAAAAAGTTTTTTACATTTATAGAAGACATTCGATTGAATACTCGTATCAATTTTACATATGTCTATATTTAAATATAATTATTTAGAAATAAAAAGTGGTCATGTATTGATATGATGCTAAAGAAAATATATTCTAGTCAATAATAAATTCGTATTTTGCGATTTTACCATTAACGATAATATTAAATTAAAAAAGCTGAAATACTGATGACACGAAACAATACTTTAACTTCTTTAAATTAATATGAAATTGTCAGATAAATACTGAACATATCGAAGCGCTGAAGTGTCTATGGCCGTATTCATATTCGATTCTTATTTTAAAATCGTCTTAAATAATGTCTTAAAATGGTAATGTCGCTCTGTAATTAGCTTATGACATCTTAAGACTGTACTTAAAACGGTCTTATGTATGAGAACAGACTTTAAATTTATCGGTTTATATCCTAATTACATTTTACACTAAATAAAATAAATATACCTAAAAACTGTAAAATTTTCTTACAGTGTCTGTTCATTCTTTATATCTTAAAAAATGGCATAAGATACTTCTCATATCTTAAGAAAAATACATGGAATAAGTATATTTAAAGAGATTTACTTATTTAAATATATACGTGTATCAGTTTACGTAAAAAGTTTCAAGTAAACTGATATAGAAAAGCTGTTTACTTCAACATTAAATACAGCCATTGACGACTTGACGAACAATGAAAAGGAATATGTATTGTGATTTGACATAAGAAAATTATTCTTCTAGAAGAAAGGCACTTGTGTTGTAATTGCGTAGATTACTATTTTTCTCCACATATCATTCTTATGTATCTATATGAATAGAAATAGTGAAATATGCAAGGAATTTTTAGTCGTATTTCTAATATGTCAATAATTTTGCAAATTACTAAATTGTATGGAACTTATGCGTAAATTGTAGTACTTACTTTTTGCATTTATTTTATGGACAAGCGATGCGATCTTATGGACAAGAGATGCGATATAGCGAAAAATATGATTGATTCAACAAATATAGAAGATGGTGAGAAAGGGAGAACGTAAAGGTAATTCTTCGTTTCTCAGCACAGAAGTATTTTGACAGTTGTGGAAAGATGAACTTCGTTAGAGATGGATATTATAAACTCAATCGACGTCTCTTGCTATTAGTTGGCTTATGGCCATATGAAAATTCTATCTACAAGTATTGTCAAATGATACTTTGTAACATTCTTATAATATTTACGATGATTTGTCAGGTAAGAATATTAGACAAATTTTCGCATGAAAAAAATCTGTTGTTATCATATATTAAATATCATCTGTCTCATTTATTCATAGTATGTTACACATGAAAAATTATTATTCCGTTAATACGACCTACAAACACGAAAATTATTTGCTTAAAAAATTAATTTCTGATAAGTAACTTATCGAAATTCATGGTTTTAGATTACGAAATTGCTAACATTGAAACGAAATATTGACGTCATGCTGAGACTTCTTTCTTTTACCGTGCTTTGCATAATTTATATTATAAAATATCAAACGTTCTGTATTATCGCTAGAAAGGTGAGTTGATAGTGCATTGCAATTTCTATTACCTTTTTTTATTTTAAAATATTATATTAAAAAAGAAATCATTAAAATAAACAACCGTTTTCCTGATTATCATAAGACACAAAATAATTTATTATAAACATCGGTCCACTCTACTTTGTAATACGTACGTTTCAAAGATACCAGATATCCTATTAATTCCCGTGAAAGCCTAAAAAGCGTTATTAATACACATTTTATTCTCAGGGTCGGATTAATACTAAAGGCTAACTTAGACTGTGCCTATAGGGCAACAAGTTTAGAGGGCGGATATTTTTTGAAAAAATTTTCTAAAAATATAGTTATTTTTTTCAGACGTAATGATTGAGAAAATTGTCCATCAATTGACGATCATTAGAATCTAGTTCGGGTTTCGCGATCTTTGTGTCGATTTTATTCTATCAGAAAGAAATTTGAGAGGGATTATGCCAGCTTTTTTCGTACATTCATTGATTGTATATAGAATGAAATGAATAGGTTTGCGATAAATGAGTTTCCTATAAAAAAAAAGCTCGTAAAGTTCTTTCTATTGCATTATAGTAAATGAAATGTATAATAATTTTGCAACTTCTAAGTATATTATGGAAACATTAGTGCAAAAAAGTTAAAAAACTAGTAAAATTCTTGCAGAAATCTTTTTTTGTTGTTCGTCGCGAACGCAGACTTGCAACGAATGAGGATCTGAGTTTGAGAGTTAAATAGGGGCGGCAACGATTGAAGTATCTAGAAATAACAGAAACTTTAATCCGACCTTGTTTACAGGAAGTAAAAAAGTTACTGTTTTGTACTTTTTATAATAAAATTTGATTATGACATTGTAATTTTTACGACTATAATGATAACTAACTAAATGCTGAGATTACGCTGAGGTTAAAAAAGTCACCTTGGAAAGTAATTTGCATCATTACGCATTTATTTACTGAAAAAAGTAATTTGTAACAAATAACGAGTAACGTTACTTCATTATAAGTAACGACTAAAAAGTAACGAGTTACAAATACTGAATTAATTGTTCCAATAACGAGTGACTTTTCCATTTCGTTATAAATAACGACCGAGTTACTTTCTAACCCTGATGTTACCGTTATAGTCATAAAAAATTTGTCATTGCCAAATCGTTATTATAATAGAGTAACGATAAGGAATATAACGGCGTTAGAAGTAACTAGTTACTTCTATTCCCTGCCTGCTTATTCTACCATCTAAAATCAAAATATATCTGTGGTAGTCTACCTTTTCCACCAAATATACTTATTTATCTATTATTTAGATTTTATTTCCACACGATATTAACAACACATAATGCAGTGTAAATTTACAAGTTCTTTTTAATTTTTTATTTTGGTTTGTCACATTTTTTACTAATGTATAACAAATCATTATAATAAAAATTGGAAATACATTTTAACGTTTGTTGCAAAAAACGATTAGAAAAGAATTCAAAAATGGCTACAATTGGTTCCAAATCAACCTAAAAAACTAATTTCATAATTTTCCTTGAAGTAAGAAGAAAAAATATTTGCATTAGCAGAAAGTACAAGAAAAATTTCTAATAATAATAATAATATCACGCAGTATTCGTAATTCAGATAATGCATTTTAAAATGTATTATATGTAAAAAAAGTTTATAAAAATAAATATGTTATTTTTTTAAATTCCTTATATTTATGATTGATAATCAAATAATAAATTATTATACTTTTATATTATATTTTAACTGTTTTTGGATAAAATATCTATGCATTTAAGTTTATTCTTATAATTCTTTGCGAATAGATAAGGTATCTTATGGATTGTGTAGAAGAAGATTGGAATATGCTTAAAGATAAAAAAGAATTAGAGATCATAGAGAGATATACTTGTATTGGAAGTATGTGTACTTTGATTTTGACAAGTAAGAGATAGATACATATACACACAATTTAGCAGCTTTTTGAATAATACAATTATATTAAAAGTCACTTTTTTATGCAGTACTGGGTTTTGTGGTTATGTTAAGTACTTCTTTCTTACCATTGATACCAAGCATCCTCGATATCATTACACCATTGAATGTATCGCGTCCACGACAACTTCTATTTCCAGGAGAGTACTTTGTCGACCAGCAAAAGTTTTTTTATGTGATTTTATTGCAAGTAGACGTTACTATAGGTTTAATAATTACCACTTTGATAGCCACGGAAACGTTGTATGTAACATATATACAACATGTTTGTGGAATGTTTCAAATTGCCAGGTAATAAAACAAAGAAAGATTGAGTAAACGTCGTAAAATTGTTTAATTTCATTTTTATTATGCATTCAATACTTTATTTTATTTTAACTTTATTTTATTTTTCAATTAATTGATATGCTATTAATTTTATTATATACGATTGCTATTTGTATAGTTATCGAGTGGATCAAGCATTTAATGACAAGCTATTACAAGGATACACATCTGAAAAGCAAGCAATTATCATTTGCAAACGGATAATTGAGGCTGTACACATTCATAAAAGAGCTCTCGAGTTGGTATAACGCATTTTGTTTATAATAAATGGAAAAATATTTGATTGGACGATTAATACATTGTTAAAGTATTTAATTTTTTTGTCAGACAATACCTATTCATATCACTAGATTTTAAAAATTTCTCAAAAATTTGTGCAGAGTAAGAAGGGTGTGAAGAAACGAAAATTGCAAACATTTGTCTAGCTGGCCATCCCTACATAACAAAAATTTAATAAATTATATAATAATTCACTATTTATACAGCTTAAAAAAATTTTCTATGGAAGCCAAGTAGATTCCTCTAATGTTAATAACAACTGATTTGAAAAATCAAGTGCATGGAATTTATGCGCTATTTATGCACTCTGATATTAGAATAATTTCAATTTTTTGCGCAATCCCTTAAGATACTTCCTGCTTGAAAATAATAATATTCGCTCCTAAGTTATTTAAAATTGCAAAATTTATTATTTAGCTATGTGAAATATATCTTTGATTTATGCGCTATTATTTTCCAGTAATTTTGATTTTTACGTTGCAACCCTTATTTCTCTCTTAATGCCAAAGGCATAATAGTCATAAATTTTTTTAAGGAATACAGCGTAAAATTTGAATGACTATGAATATAAATGCACATTAATTGTAGATTAATTGTATTAAAAATTTAATTATATATTTATCAAATTAATCTGGGTTAAGATTTAGGGGAGCCACCTCCGATGACCTTGACCTTGACATATGTTGTCAAGGCCGTGATCCTGAGTGACCTCCACCAGGTTTTAGCCGTCGGTCATCATTCGTTAAAAAGTTAATAACAGTTAAAGTTATTAATTCTTTAACTGCTTTACATAGCTTAGATAATTCTGACCTTCGACTCTCACCCCCCCTCCCCCCTGCA